AGGCGGCTCGCGCCTTCGGGGACCTCAGCCTGGCCGCTCGCTGGCAGCCCGCCGGCTTCATGTGCACCTGGAGCTCGCGGCGGAGTCTGGTCGCTTCCGGGCTGGCGAGGCGGCGTCCCCTTGGCAGTGACGTGCAGGGGAGACCGCTCCAGCCAGAAGTCGCCGCTGGCGGCGGGCGGGCGGGAGAGGCGGCGCTCACCACCCCACTTCTTCCGACGTGCAGGGGAGACCGCTCCAGCCAGAAGTCGCCGCTGGCGGCGGTAGGCAGGGAGAGTCGGCGCTCACCATCCAATTCCTCCAAGCCTATTTTGCAGCGCGTTGTGATCCGACCATTGAAAAGCGCTGCACCGAGCAGTGCGCTGTAGATGACAGAGCAGCCGGGCTCCACGCTTTGGGTGGAGCAGCACAAGAAGAGTTTGGAGCCATGAGAGAACAGTGGACGAGACTGGCCGGGGTTTCCTGTTGGGCTTTTCAGTCACAGAAGGAGGTTTTGAACAAACCCAGGAGGTTGAAAGACAGATTCTTGGAGTCAGGGATCATGATGGGTGTCCAATGATTTTGAAGTAGTAATAAAGCAGATCTGGATCTTCAAAACAGGGAACAGAGGAGGAGGACGTTAGCACGGCAATGTCAGGCAACACGCATGGAGGCATCTGCGAGATTAGGATGAACGTCAGGCAAGCTGTCCATGAGCTTGTCCTGCTTATAAGGAAATTCCGGGGGAATGTCCTCCTTCAGCAGAACCAACATGGAAAGCAGAAGACCAGAAAGGCAGCCCTTGTGTCATTTTCTAAGAGTCCCTTCAGGTTTAGCTGTCGACGACCAGGAAATGCCCTCATCTTCTCCCTGCCTTCTTACAGTGTTGGTAATTTAGACAAAGGAGCCGCATGTTCACCTAAGACCAGGAAGATGGCTAATCCTTTCCGTGAAGCCAATACAAGGGTCATTTCAAGACCATTTTAAGGAAACACTAAGGGTGCTTCGAGATGATCTGATTCCTGTAAAATATATATCTATATACACACACATTCTTTTTTTGTTTTTCTTTTTAGGTTTTAGCAATAAGGCATGTGCACTGGCCAGAGAGAGACAGTGAGAGAAGAATGTGAGAAATTAGGGACCAACAGTTGGTGTAATGGCTATGTCACTGGACTCCCACGTAGTCTACCATGGTTCAAGTCTCGGACCCAGTGGCTTAAACTCACACCGGGCGCATGTGTGTGCGTGCCCAAGATCCAGAAAAGAGAATGAAGGAGAAGGGATTATGGTGTGGCCATCCCCCCTGGGGCGGGCAATTTCTTGCTTTCTGTCTCTCTGTCTCTCTCTGTCTTTCTTGTGACCACACACGCCCTATAGCAAAAACCTCTTAAAAAAAAGAGAGGGAGAAATCACCTTCTACCTCCATGTCTTTTTGGATTCTATGCTTGCTGATTCTTTTTTTTTTTTCCTCATTGTCAGCATTTCGTTTTATTTTTTTGAAGTTGACCAGAGAGAGAAAAGGAAAGTGAGAAAGCAAGCTGCCAGGTCCGGGACTCGAACTGCAGTCAGCCATGTAGGAGTCCAGTTGCCTTAACCACCATGCCACATGCCGGCTCCTCTTGTTTTTTAAGATAAAATGAAAACTTTATTTTTTTTATTGTGGATTGGGTTCTATCCATTTCTGATAGAGGGAGACTGACTTCCTCAACTATAATAGATGGTTCATTAGATCATTGTACATGCAGATTTTTTTTAGCGATTTTTGCTATGGGGTGTGTGTGCTCTCTAGAGAGACAGAAAGTGAGAAATCATCCCCTAGGAGGATGGCCACACTCCAATCTCTTCTCCATTCTTCTCTGGGATCTTGAGCACACATGCACATGTGCCCAACGTGAGTTTCAAGCCACCCGGTCCAGGACTTGAACTGCAGTTGAACATGTGGGAGCCCAATAATATAACCACTATGCTATCTACTGGTCCCTGTCCATGCAATTCTACTAGATTTTGCCTCGGGTGCTTTGATCTTCTGTTGTTAACTGCATACACCTTGAGGACTGTTATGTCTTCTTGGAGTATTGACCCCTTTATAATTATGTAATACGCCTCTTTATCCCTGATAATTTTTATTTTTAAAAATAATTATTTTATTTAAATTTATTTATTTATATATTTACTTTAATTTGACCAGAGAGGGACAGAATGAGAGAGAGAGAGAAAAAGCAAAAAAGCAAGCCACCAGGCCTGGGACCCAAGCCACAGTCAGTCATATGGGAGTCATGGGAGTCCAGTGCCCTTAACCACTATGCCACCTACAGGCTCCTCTCTGATCATTTTTCTTTCTCTGAAGTATTCTCTATCTGAAATTAATATGGCTACTCATTCCTTCTTTGGATTAGTGTTAGCATGGTATATCTTTCTCCATCACTTTACTTTAAGTCCGTATGTGCCTATATATTAAAAGTGGGGTTTTTTGGTCAGTGACATTAGTTATATCTTGTTTGGTTTTGTTTTGTTTCCATTCTAGCAATCTCTGTCTTTTAATTAGTAAATTTAGATCATTGATGTTTAAGGTGATAGTTGATATAATTGAATTGATATCTATCATATTTGTTGCTGTTTTTTATTTTTGTCTTCCACTTTTTCTCTCTCTTGTGGGGTTTTGGGTTTTTTTGTTGTGTTTGTTTTTTAAGTCAGAAAGCATGCACACAAGAGTGAAAGTGAAAGTGAGAGAAAGAGCAAGAGAGAGAGAGAGAGAGAGAGAAAGCACCCCCAAAGGGGCCTGGACACACCGTGACCCTTTTTCTTCCAATTCTCCATCCATTCAGAATCCTGATCACATGCATATGGCCAGTGTGTTTTTCAAGACACTTTTCTCCACATCCTCATCAACACTTATTGACATTTGACTTTTTGATAATAGTCATCCTAACAGATATGAGATGATTTCTCATTGTAGTTTTGATGTGTACTGCCCAAATGATCTGTGATGTTGAGCACATTTCTATATACCTCTTTGCTATTTGTATGTCTTCTTTGAAAAATATCTATGGTCCTGGGACCAGCAGTTAGCGTAATGGCTATGTCGCTGGGCTCCCACGTAGTCAACCACGGTTCGCGTCCTGGACGTGCTGGCTTAAAACTCATGCCGGGTGCATGTGCGTGCGTGCCCAAGAGCCCAAGAGGAGAATGGAGGAGAAGGGATTGCGGCGTGACCATCCCCCCTGGGGGATGATTTCTCGCGTTCTGTCTCTCTGTCTCTCTCTGTCTGTCTGGCAAAGCGCATGCGCCCT